CTTTGCGGGCGGCTCCGGCTCTTCCGGGTCCGAGTTCCCCGACACTCGGGAGGCCTGCGACACCGAGCGAGGCACGGGGGGGCCATGACGTGGCCGCGGGGCGTGGCGAGGTCCGCAGGCTGACTTCTGCCCTCGAGGCCCCTCTTCCAGGCCATCCCCGGCCCCCGCCCGCCGCCCCACCGGCGTCCCCGCGCCCCCCGCCATGACCGCGGCCGCCGCCTCCAACTGGGGGCTGATCACGAACGTAGTGAACAGCATCGTAGGGGTCAGCGTCCTCACCATGCCCTTCTGCTTCAAACAGGTGAGTCCGCGCCCCCGCCTCAGGCCGTGACAGCGGCCCGGCGGCAGGCCCAGGGCAGACGGAGCCCAGCAGGGCGGGCTTCCCGAGAGGGACAGCGCCTGGGGGCTCCGAGTTGTTTTACTTGACCCGTTATTTTTGAAAACTCTGACCTGACTGCCCTTGCATTCTGAAGCGCACAAGCCCGTCCTCCCAGGCTTGGAAATCAGATGGGGGCGTTGGTTCCAGGTGATTGAAACATTCTCCGGTGTGTGCCCCGACAGTCTGCATTTCACAGAAACTGTGCAGACTTAATCTGACCTGTGCAAATTACACCTCAGTTCAAAAAATGTGGTGTGGGCCGGCCCGTGGCTCACTTGGGAGAGTGTGGTGCTGATAGCACCAAGGCCACGGGTTCGGATCCCTATATAGGGATGGCTGGTTAGCTCACTTGGGAGAGTGTGGTGCTGACAACACCAAGTCAAGGGTTAGGATCCCCTTACCGGTCATCTTTAAAAAAAAAAAAAAAAAAGAAAAGAAAAAATGTAAGACACGAAAAGCTTGGTGTCCTTCCAACATTGAATACCATGGAAAGAAAGTGGCCACTTCTATGGTGGCTTCTGTTTAGGTAACCCACAATCAGGCATTCCGTGTTCTGGGAAAGGGAGGCGGACTGGCTCCCCCACTCAGTATCATAGGAGGGCCCAGCAGTGGGACCAGGACAAGGGCAGGTGGCAGAGACCTGAGGGCACCCACCGGTCACAATCTGGTGAAACCAAACAGGTGGAAACATGAAAACAGGATGGACGTTTTGGAACAGAAAGTGGGGGCTGGTATTTTAATTTTAGATTAACAAACACTATACGTTTTTTTTTATTTAGCGTCTTTGGGGCAAAAATATTAAAGTTTTTTTTGATCTGCGAATTTTTGATCCCCTACACAGAGCTCTCAGCTTGCCCTGGGTGAGAATGCATTTAGAATTCCTGTGTTATCTTTTATTTCCTATTTTTCCACAAACTATTGATTGATTGATTGACTTGGTGTTGTCAGCACCATGCTCACCTATTGAGCTAACCAGCCATCCCTATATAGGGATCCGAACCCATGGCCTTGGTGTTATCAGCACCACACTCTCCCGGGTGAGCCAGAGGCCGGCCCTATTTTTTATTTTTTGGTAGCTGGCAGGTACAGGGATCCAAACCTGTGACCTTGGGGTCATAAGGCTGTGCTCTAACCGGCTGAGCTAACCGGCCAGCCCCATTTAGGGCTGTGTGAGTTGTTTGAGTGATGTGGTTGGTGAGTACGTTGGAGGCAAGACAGGACCAGATGTCTCTAGAGCCCCACGGGCCACCTCTGTGTCTGGACATTGTGAATCCCAGCTTTGTGTCGGCCACCAACGGGGTTTTTCTGGAACGACTACATGACCCAGTGTCCACTGCGATGTGCCCAGCAGCAGAATTGCATCCTGGGATGTCCTGCATCGGCATGTCAGCTGCTGTCTCCCTTGACGCCTGTCTGTGAAGTGCCACTGTGGATGGGTTTAGATACCTGTGAAGATATGTTTTAGAGCCTAGATGATTCAGCTGTCCCTAGACTTGGAAGGCCTGTGTATGGTAGGCACTAGGCCCCTGCCAGAGCATGTAAAGATGAGACCGGCAGAGACCTGCTGGAAGGAGCCTACAACTTAGTGCGGGAGCCCCGTGCACAAGCAAAGGACTAGACGGAGGGTCAGCCACGCTCCTTGGACTCCGCGTCTTCTCCATGGGAAGCTCCTTCGACTAAAGTGCAGCGTGAGGCCAACAGGCAGTTTAGGGATGTGTGTGTTTAGTGTTTGGCAGCCAAGTCATTAAAAACAGCTGTTGGTTTAGTGTTTTGTTTGTTTTTTGTTTTGAGTAGTCTTGATACTTTAAAAAATATATAAACATTTATTGAAGTTTAACATGCAGGAACATGCACCTGCTTTAGGTGTATTCTTGATGAATTTTCATAAAGTGAACAAACACACATAACTACTCCCAAATTAAGGAGCGGCACATTGCCAGCACCCCCACCAATTGCTCCTCCCTACCAGAGGGCCACCCCCACCTCTGGTGCCATAGGTTCTTGTTGCCTGGTTCAGCTTGATGGAGATGCAGTTGGAATATGCGTGCGTTTCAGCATCTAGCTAGCATTCCCTTGTACAGATATGCCACAATTTACTTATTTTACCTTTGCGAGGCATTTGTGGTGTTTCTTGTTTGGAGCTCTTAGGATGAGCGCTGCTGTGAACACAGCTGCATGGGCTTTGGCGAGTGACTGCGTTTCTGCTGGGTGTGTGCCTTTGAGTACAATGGCTGGATCACAGAGTGTGCGCATGTTCAGCCCTAGTAGATGCTGCCACGAGTTTCAGCATGGACGTACCAAGGTATCAGAGGATGCTCTATATCCTTGGTAGTATCTGATATTCTTTGTCTTTTCCATTTGAGCCATTCTGCTGAGTGGTGATAGTTCATTGTGGGTTTCTTTTTTTTAATCGATAGGCTATTTATTTGAGCAGTTTTAGGTTTATAGAACAATTGGATGGGAAGTACAGAGAGTTCCCATGTACCCCCTCACTTTCTCTCCACCGTTTCCCATATTATTAACATCTTGCACTAATGTGGCGGTACTGATGTTTATTTTATTTTTCAGTTTATTTTTTTCATTGTACATGTTTATAAAGTACAGTTCGTTGTTTCAGTACATGCATGTATTGTATAATGATCCAATCAGAATAGTTAGTATACCTGTCACCTAAATATTTACCATTTCTTTGTGGTTATAACATTCAAGATCCTCTTTTCTGGCTATCTTGAAATAAACAATACAATATTGTTAGCTGTGGTCACCCTGGAGCACCAGAGCTTATTCTTCCGTCTAACTGTAACTTTGTACCGTCAGCACCACGCCCACCCAGTGAGCAACCGGCCATCCCTATATGGGATCCGAACCCATGGCCTTGGTGTTATCAGCACCGCACTCTCCCGAGTGAGCCACGGGCTGGCCCCCGGGTTCTATGGGTTTTGATGTATGTGTACAGTCTTGTAACCACCACGGTTAAGACACAGAACAGTTCCATCACTCCAAAAAGTCACCTGGTGCCCCTCTTGTCAGCCACTCCCCATCCCCAGCTCCCGGCCACACCGACCTGTTCTCTGGCCCTACAGTTTTGCCTTTTCTGAATGTCCTGTAAACAGAGTCACACTGTGTGTAGCATTCTGAGTGGAGCGCCATTCACTGCACAGCACATTTGAGGTGCACCCACGTTGCTGCGGGTGTTGGTATGTAGTTCATCCCTTTTTGCTGCTGAGTAATATTCCACTGTATGGACAGACCACAGTGTGTTTATCCATTCACATGCTGAAGGACATGTGGGCTGTTTGCTCAGGTCTTGGATTACGGACGAGCCTACTGTAAGCACTGGCACGCAGGCTTTTGCATGAGCATATTCCCTTGTTTCTCTTGGGTAAATAACTAGAAGTGCAGTTGCTGGCTCACATGGTAAGTGCCTGTTTGATTTGTAAGAAAGGTGTAAATGTTTTCAATCTCTTCCTCCTAGAATGTGTTTACCACTCCTGGCTGTTGATCCAGGTGGCTAAAAGGCAGTGCACTGCAGGGGGTGCGTAGAGGACTGGGAAAGCCAGTTGTGGGCAACAGCCAGCTGTCCAGAAGGACCCGCGGAGGGGGCCAGGAAGGAAACAGTGTCCTTGGTGCTCCTTCAAAACACACAGGTCTTAGGTTGCAGACAGAGCCTGTGGCCGCCACATCCAGGGAAATGGGCCCTTTTGGAGATGGGAAGTATCACTCGTGGACAGGAGGGTGGAACAGAGTGGAGAGGTTTTCAGGAGCCACGTAAATGCTGTGTGGACAGAGCCTGTGGCCGCCACATCCAGGGAAATGGGCCCTTTTGGAGATGGGAAGTATCACTTGTGGACAGGAGGGTGGAACAGAGTGGAGAGGTTTTCAGGAGCCACGTAAATGCTGTGTAACGTGTGAGGTAGATACCTGGAAGTGTCTGGTTTTGCGAACGTCTCATTTTCTTCCCACCCTCTAGTGTGGCATTGCCCTGGGGGCCCTGCTCCTGGTCTTCTGCTCCTGGATGACGCACCAGTCCTGCATGTTCTTGGTGAAGTGCGCCAGCCTGAGCAAGCGGAGAACCTACGCGGGCCTGGGTGAGGAGCTGGGCCCCGGTGCGGGCTCTCTAGACTTGGGGGTGTGGGCCTTCTCTCTTCTATTGAGTTATTTATTTTTCTTCTACTGTATTCTTAGTTTCTTGGACAGCAGTTCTTTTTCTTATTTTAAAATTTAATGCGATTTTTAAATGTTAATGTAATCACACGCATCCACATTGAAGTGATACAGAAAGATGTGAGGTCCCCTGTTGTCCTTGCCCCCGTCCCTCCTTGAGCAGATGCCCATACTCAGCAGACGCAGCTGTTCTCAGTTCACTCGCTGTGCAGCTCCCCCGGGCGCCGTTGCCCGCCTCTGGAGCTGCCCGAAGGGCGTCACACCACTCCCCGCTACTTGGACTCCTGTGGAGGAAGCTGTCGTCAGGCCCAGGCGTGTAGCTGGGATCGAGTAACCCATCTCCCCCATGGCTTTCTCTACTGATTTTCTGTGGCTGCAGGTTCGTTTCCTTTAGTTCTCTCTATCTGCTGTTAACGTGATTTCAGTCCAGAGAGAAGGCTGCACTTTCTACTTCAGTTATGTTTGGAATATTTTCTAGATAGTTTGGCTTCTAGGGCTCTGTCCCTGTCTTTCCTATCTGCCTTGGGCCGGTGTGGAAGCCCGAGCTCTCTGCCTGCCTCTGCCCAGGCTCTACACTGGGGATTTTCGGTATGGGTGTTGAAATCCAGCATAGGTGTTGTCAATAGTTGGCTCTGTGGGTGTCTGGGGAAAATTCCTGGCCTCCCGATGAAAGCTCCTGACTCTCCAGCCAGTGTGTGGCCAGGATGCACACAGAGGGCCAGTGCAGCCCTGGGCTCACAGCTCTCATGGGGAGGGAGGAAATGGTGTGTGGAGTTCCGGGGGCCAAACAAAATAAAAACATCTGCACAGCCCACACGGAAGGGCTTCTGGCAGCATGGCCTCTCATGTCCTCCCAGTCTATCTGCTTTGCGTTGGCATCGGGACACTTGTGTCTGCTTGTGACCTTAGAACCAGAGGGATGCTTTCCTCCTCTTCTCTTTTTCGACATGAGTGGTGCTTTCAGCCTTTCAGTGCTACACGTGAGGTAGAGAAGTTTATCAGCCGACTTAGCCCACAGTGAAATGGCCTCATTCAGCTTGGGGTGAAATGTCCCCCACCAGAAACCAGGAGGTAAGGTGCTTGGGTGGGCCCTTCTTGGTCCACAGAGCCATGGCCTGTGGGTGACCCTTTTTCCCTGCTGAGGTCTCTGAATGGGCTTCCTATAGCAGAGGCCCCAACTCAAGAGCTTGGCTGTATCCCCAAAGAAGCCCGTGAAACCCTAGGCTGGGCAGGCCATAGTTTCTGATAGCTGGCTGTCTGACTGTTCTTCAAAAGTCCCTTAGAAGTCAAACCGGTTGGTTTGACTAGAAGTGGAAGATTGAAAGAAAATTGCCCAGTGGCACCCTCTATGCTGGCTGCCAGGGGCCTTGGCCTTTAATCTGCACGGGGCGACTACAGCCCAGTTCTGCCAGCTAGGGACAAAAAAGATTCCAAAACATTCGTGGTCTCAGGTTACATGAGCCCCAAACAGATGGCTCAGCTGCGTCAGCTCCCAGGTGGACCTCCCGAGCCCAGTCTGTTCCACATCAGGTCCCTGTGTCTTGGCTCAGCTCAAAAATGGAGTGGGATGGTGCCGCTGCCTGCCCAGGCGAGGTCTTCCTACAGAGCGGGCAGTGGTCATTCCTCACTTCCTGCCTTTCCAGGAGGGCTGGGCCCTCTCCTGTCACTTGCACTTAGTGAGGGGATCTTTCTCCCCAGTCCCTGGTCATCCTAGGTGAGAGACACCTCCAGGAGCTGCACTGCGGCCCAAAGGGTGGGCCTGGAAGGATTGCCCCTCCCTGCATCCTGGTGCAGCAAGGCAGATGCTTAAACATGCCTCATTTGTGGGTGTGTGGGCATTGAGCAGCTGTCCAGGTGGGGAGATGGGTAGATGGCCTTTGTCCAGACCTGGAGACCGCATAGAGGGTGATGTGGAAGTTTCTAGAGTGGCAAACATGCCTCCAACCTGTAGCCTGTTTAAACTGCACGCATGCCACCAATGGCTGGAAGGTTTTCTGATGACATGTGCCAGTGCTGGCTGCACTGTGCGTGTGCGCTTGTGCCAGTTTCTCAGTTTGGTTAGCCCGTGGAATTGATCACTTACCGCTCGACACCGCCCCTCTTGGAGAGTCACAGCACCAGCAGGTTTTTTGTTGGTGGTGTTTGTGTATTTATTTGTTCTGTTTGCTTTTGTTGGTTGTGGGCTGTTTTTGTAGTTTTTATATAAAAACTTCTCACCTGCTGCTTCTTGCCCTGCTTGTCCCACTTTCACATAGTTGTTTCCAAATCCCATGTTCAGCAGATACATCAGCTATTCAGCCTCCTCCTGAGCCTCAGCCCTGCACCAATGAGAGTGGTGGCCCAGGCCCAGCCACGTGGGTGCGGCTGGCAGCGCCTCCCAGGCGGCAGGGGCCCTTGGGCATCTACCTTGCCTCTGAGTTCTCAGTCGTGAGCAGTGACGGGGCTGGTGTCGTGTCTGTGATACCTGCACCGGAACTGCCCTGGCCAGCTGCCGCCCCTTCCTGGGCCTGGGCTGGGCCTGCAGAGGTCACTGTCCACAGTGGTCTCTCTTCCTCCCTGCTCGTCCTGGGGCTTGTGACCCCTGCACATGCTGCTTGGCTTGGGAAATAGGGTTGTAAAACCATGCTTCCTAGCCCCCACGGTTCTTGACAGCTTCCCCACCCATCCTTTATCCCACAGATGTCTATTGCACACCTGCCCTGTGACACCAGCAGCAAGGAGGCCAATGGCACCCACTCCTGATTCCTGGAGTGGTTGGCTTGGGAAATAGGGTTGTAAAACCATGCTTCCTAGCCCCCACGGTTCTTGACAGCTTCTCCACCCATCCTTTATCCCACAGATGTCTATTGCACACCTGCCCTGTGACACCAGCAGCAGGGAGGCCAATGGCACCCACTCCTGATTCCTGGAGTGTACCTTGATAAGCATCCAGGATTCCATGTAAGGATCAGGCTCAGGGTTAGTTTTGTTAGGTGAACTTGAGAGGTGCCAGGCACCTTTAACTTGTCAGTCCAGGAAAGGCCAGAGTGGCCCCTGGAGGCAGGAGCCTCTGCTTCCACAGACCGGTGGAGTCAGAGGCCAGCACTCTGGGTTTGGCAATGCCACGCCCTTCCTAAATAGTTTAAAAGTAGATGGGGTGTCCTTTGTCATTCATACCCACTGGTCTGTGTGTTTCCTGCTTTCCAAACCCCACTGGATGTCCTTTGGCCCCCATGCAGGGTGGGAACGAGGTCAGGAAGCCAGGGCTAGGATGGGGCTGGAGCCACCCTGTCACAGGCACCTCCTTTCTGGTTGCTCTCTGGAGAGTGGAACTTCCCTTTGCCCTGGTCTGGCTGGACTGTGGGGAAAACGCTGGTGGACCGAATTGCCATGAAGGTCCTGGGAGAGAGCTTGCTGAGTCAGCTTGTAGCTTCTCATCTGCTGGAAATAATTCCTTGTCAGGAGGGAAGGCTGATGGCTGCTCCCCATGGTAGGTTGCAGCAATGGCGCCATTTGTCAGCACGGCTCCTCGACTGTTCACCCTGGACCCCGCACACCCTTGTCCCCCCCTCCCAAAGTGCCGCACTCTGAAGGATTCTCTAAGTTTTTTTTTTTGGTAAATCGCAACCCAAGTGTGAAAATAAGAGCCCTCCCGCAGAGTCCCTTTGGCGAGGCTGCGAGAATTGGGCATCCTGGGGCTGGGACCCACCCCCTGGGGGCTCTGGCTGATGCCTTCGGGCTCTCAGCGAGGGCCGGGTAGGCACTGGTTCAGCAGCCTCCTCCATGAAAAACAACCTAGCTGTGTCTCTCTCTTGCTTTGTTCTCGTTTTATGTGGTTTCATTTGTGGATACTAGACCTAAAAAAAGCATGGGGACCAGAACTTTAAAATATCCCCCTTATGCCTACGAAACTCTAGACCAACGGATTGTTGTCAAATTGCCTTTCAGAGCATCATGCGGTGGCTTTTTTGCTTCTCACTCTGCGGGACTGAGTGTCCGTTCTCTTTTCTTTTGCACTAGCGTTCCACGCCTATGGGAAAGCCGGGAAGATGCTGGTGGAGACCAGGTAACTGGAGTGCCTCTGTGTACTCTTTTCTCCATGAAACTAGGGACTGTCACCAGGGGGGCGGCTTCTGTCACATGAGACTGCCTTATAACTTATGTTACTAAGTTGAAAGTCCAATTTGTTGTACCCTTAAAATGATTAGTGTCAGGCTGAAAGCCTTATTTAAGTCTTACTAAGAAAAATACAAAAATGGAAAGCGTGGAGAGCACAGTGAAGCAGCTCTCCCTCCGTTGCAGTTCATCTCGTGGTGTTCTTTGAGCTGTACCCTCCCCCAACACTGCTGCATAAAGGTGGCATTAAGTTGAAAATGTCATATTTTCCTTCCTTTGGAGTAAAATTTTATGAGATGAAAAAATTGCTGGGAAATTGCACTTTTAGGGTTCTAAATTAAGGGAATTGTAAACTCGAAAGAACAGCCCTTTTTGAAAGCAGTTGATTGTCTTTTTAACTTGTCTAACATGGCAGTGCGTTTTGTAGCACCTGAAAGAACTTTTAGAACCTCCTGTGGAGAGAAAAATATAATACCACATAAAGAAAAGTTTAGTGTTATTCAATAATCATTCCAAGTAAAACACAAACTCCATGGGACACACCCATGTCCTGTAAACTGCAGAATGGTGGTAGTCGAGCCCTGTCGTTGAGCCCTGCCACTGGGTGGCCCCTGCCGGGCGTGCAGCGTGCCGTCCAGGGCTGTGAGCGCCCGAGCCCTGGCTCGCCCATGACCGGACACCATACTCCTTGAAAATACTGTTTCAAACCCGTGGTTTCCTTCTTTGTAGCATGATTGGGCTGATGCTGGGGACCTGCATCGCGTTCTACGTTGTGATTGGCGACTTGGGGTCCAACTTCTTTGCTCGGCTGTTTGGGTTCCAGGTAAGGGCACTTCAGGTGTTCTGGTTTACTTGAACACGTGTGGCTGTGCCTGTGGTAGCTCCCTGACTCACCTGTGAGCCCGGGCGTGGGCCAGTGCAGTTGGTTAGAAGTTCCCGCTGTGCCCTGCTGTCAGTTGAGGTCCAGTGGGCTGGAGCACAGGGGACTTGCTGGGGTAAGGTCCAGGAAAGGTATCAGGAGAGGAAGCAACAGCAGGCAGAAGCCTCTGGGCCGCAGTGTGAGTCTGTTGCTGTGCCAGGGGAGGGTGGGACCGGCTGCAGACCAGGGTGGAGCTCAGAGGATGTCTCAGCCAGCCAGGCCACCCATCAGGACAGAAGCAGCTGGGCCCTCGTGTGTCTGTGTGCTTGGCTGTCAGCCAGAGCTTCCTGGGGAGCTGTGCTTCACCACACTGGGTAGGTCTGAAGGCACAGCACTGGGACTATTGGACTCACGCTCCTCTCAGCTGCAGGGACATTAGTGTGGCATCCTCCCTGCTTGCCACCCCTACCACTGAGGGATCCCCTGGCGAGCTGGGCCGGGCTCAGCTTTCCTCCTCTGCCAGGAGCAGAGTGCCTTGCTGCATGGGGCAGGAAGGGCTGGCTGAGGGGTGGGTGCCATGGCACTGAGCATCTTCTCTGTGTCAGAGTCCCTCAGCATTTGCATCCCAACAGGGTAGAGCAGGATTTCAGTGTAGAAAGACCATAGTTGAGGAGAAGGAGGGGTGGTCTTCCTTGTGAGTGGAACATGGCAGATGTGCACATGGATGGAGAAAATTCCCGGGAGCCCCCGTGAGCATGGCCCCTGGCCTGTGCTGCACGTTTCACTGTGGACGTCCTGGAGCCACGGTCAGTCCTGCCCTCAGGCCCTTGTGCCTTCCCTCCCCTCCAGCCGTGGCTGCATGGGAATTGTGGGAGAGACACTGCTGCTGCCAGCCGTGGTCCCACACAGACCCTCCCATTCAGTCCTGCCCTCAGGCCCTTGTGCCTTCCCTCCCCTCCAGCCGTGGCTGCATGGGAATTGCGGGAGAGACACTGCTGCTGCCAGCCGTGGTCCCACACAGACCCTCCCATAGGAGCAGAAGCATTCAACCCACAGCAGCGCAGCCACACACAGAACTGTCTCTGCTCTCGTCCCCCGTTGGCGTGTTGTCAAAGGTTTCCCCTGAGTGTGCGGTGCTCCCATGCCAAGAAGCATGGTGGGTTTGGGATAAATACGTAGGGATTTGGAGCTGGGGAGAGAGTGCTGAGGGACATTTTTGAAGGGTCTTGGTGGGGCTCTGATGTCCACTAGCCAGGTGCTGCAGGCTCTGAGTGAGGAGATGGAGAGTCAGGGGTGTTGCTGCTGCCAAGCTCAGTGTCAGATATTTCCAGCCTTTGCATGTTCTGCTGTAATAAACACCAGATTAGTTTTCAGGATTAGGATTGCAACACTGCCCTCCTTCTTGAAGCCAGGTCGGCTTTGAGGTCACAATGGAGGGAAATGGGCCTTGTGGTGGGCTCCTTTGGGCTCCCGCTGCCCCCATCAGCGCAGGCGTGGAGGGTGGGCCTGGCACCAACTGCCCAAGGCCGCGCAGACTCAGAGCTGCTCCCATCGCATTCCTTCCCTGTGGTAAGGGAGACAGCTGTCCTGCTCCAGCTGCTCTGGCTCTGGGGTTGGGCTGGACCCTGCGGGGGCAGAGATCAGCGCACAGCACGGCAGCCACGAGGGCAGCTTCGGGGGGAGTGTGCAGCCTCGAGCCCCGCCGGCGTTATGCTCTGGGTGCTGCTGGTTCTCTGGGCCGTGGGCGCTTCCATCCCCACAGCAAAGAGGAGCCCCCGCTGGTGAGTGATTCCCTTCCAGGTGACCGGCGCCTTCCGCGTGCTCCTGCTCTTCGTGGTGTCCCTGTGCATTGTGCTCCCGCTCAGCCTCCAGAGGAACATGATGGCCTCCATCCAGTCCTTCAGTGCCATGGCCCTCATCTTCTACACTGTGTTCATGTTCGTGGTGAGTCTGCAGTGCTCGTGAGCGGCCGTGGTGCTGTGTGAAGGGCTGCTCACAGCATGCTCTTTTCTATGGCTACACAGGGTCTGTGCCCGGGTCTGGTTTAGCCACCCGCTGCTTCTTGGGAATTACAAAAAAGTGGCTTGACGCCTGGGGAATGTGTCAGAATTACTAGGACGGCTGAGGAGGACCATGGGGCAGGTGGGCTACCTGATCTCAGGCTAGGATGCCAGGAGAGGCCGAGGGCTCAGGGTGGAGGGGCTCCAAGGCCAGGGTCACCTCGTTTAGGCTCTTGGAAGTAAAGGTGTAGCATCCACTTGTTTTATGGAAAGACATTTTATGTGGGATTTGTGACCAAGAGTCATGATGCCAGTGCTTTGGCACAAGGTGGCAAGTTGTCTTTCTCAGTGAGCATGTATAACAGGCTGGCCCGGAGGGCCATGCGTGCAATTGACACCCTTAGGGCCCTGTGCCAGGGCCTGCCTGCATGGGCCCCGAGCCCCCGGGACTGCCCATTCACTGGCAAGGTCAGTGATGATCCTTCCTGAGGGAACAGAACCTGTATGTCTTTGTAGTGGGTGTGCGCTGGCAAGGCTGCTGGTGGCTGTGGGAGCCACAGTTCTCCAGTGCTCCCTGGCTCTCTGTGCGGGGACCAGGAGCGAGAGTGCCCCTTACTCTTCAGATAGCCATGTCCTTGGTGGGTTGGTCTTCTGAAATATGTCCATGTCTGGGACAGTACAGGACCAGGGAAGGACTTCTCCATATTGAGCGACCATCCTCTGTAACTTGATGGAACCTGGAGCCAGGTGCAGCGAGCAGGGTGTCACTTCTGTGTGTGCCGAGCGACCCCTGCACAGGCAACTGCTCCAGAGTGCCCAGGAGACCCCCTGTAGCCTGCACCCTTCCACCACCCACCACACAGACCCTTGTGCTCTGAGGCTGGGGACTGGGAACACTGGAAAGTGCAGTCCCTGGCCCCTCCAGCTGACGGTACCAGGCTGCGCTGGCGAGGCAAGCGGCACCCACACTGTGGAGCCAAAGCCTTCCCTCCCCACAGCAGCACCTAGGCCGGGGTGGCCGTCCTGCCGGCTTTCTGACCTGTCCGTGTGCTCTTTTCTCCCCTCGGTACAGATCGTGCTGTCCTCTCTCAAGCACGGCCTCTTTGCCGGGCAGTGGCTGCGGCGGGTCAGCTATGTCCGCTGGGAGGGCCTCTTCCGCTGTGTCCCCATCTTCGGCATGTCCTTTGCCTGTCAGTCGTAAGTACCACCACCGCCGGGGGCCCTGCGTGTGGGGCTCTGTAGAGGTGGTCAGAGACAATCCGCTGCTGTGTATGCATCTTCCATTGTTCGTTAGTGGCTGTGCAAGAGTGACGTCTCGTTCCATTGTGACCTTTTCCCTCCAGGCTGAGGGAGAATGTCGTGTTTTCATCGGGAGGTATGCTGACTGTATGCCTAGCTGTGCTGCTGGGCCTAGCTGGCAAGAGCGCCTGACTTGCCAGATGCCCCGTGAGAGGAGGGCTGGCGGTGGGGTGCGGCAGCAACCCAGCCATCTGACTGCACAGTCCCCAGTGCCCTGCCAGACTTAGCTGCTCTTCTGAGAACGTTGGAAGGGAACTCGCACACACGTTGCCTTCAGACTGCTGCAGTGACGCTTTTGTGGGTGTTGTGCACATGTGCTTGTGTGAGCTGTCTCTGGCACTCAGGGCTCTGCAACTGCAGATCAGGCGCTCCCTAACTCCAGCAGCATCACTTTCTCCACCAAGATGACAGGAGCGTGTCACTTCTGCAGGCCTGAAAACAGTAACCGGCTGGAAAGGGGCGTAAATCCAGCGCAGCCGGGAAAGACCATCGCGTACGGGGTGGGTCTGGCAGAGTGGCCCCACTATGTTAGTGGCACATATTGTGCCAATCGTGCATAGTGTGACAGAATTTGTTCCTGCCGCTGTTTACACCCACATGCAAGATCCAAGTCATTCCCCACTTACTGTCTGTCTCTTGGCAGCTCGGTCTCCACCAGAATGCACTCCAGTCTTGCTGTTTAGTGTCCCCATTATAATCAGAGACAGACGTTTTATTCTTTTATCACATACTGAGTTACCAGTTATCCCTTTTGTCAGCGTGTTTGCTTTTTTTAAAATAAACCTGAGGTTGGGCTTTTTTGGCGGTGGATGCGTAGTAGCCAAGTCACAGGTGTTGGTGTGGTTCCCAGGTCAGATGGCAGGTTACGGAAGGGTTGGTGTGCAGGCTGGCCAAGTGCGGGTCTCACTCTGCCTCTCCCTGAGGGCGTCTGGGCCTCCAGGCCAGTCCCTACTTCTCTACACGCTGGCCGGCATGCTGACTTCCTTGTCCTTAAACACAGGAACACTTGCCAAGCTCAGAGACGGAGAGCTCCTCCCGCCCACAGGAGTGCTGTGCCAGAGTGCCTGTCTGTGTTGGGGTGACCGCCAGGCCCTCACCTCCTGTTGTTGCAGGCATGGCCAGGCCTCCTTCTGCCTCTGTGTCTGGCCCTTGCAGGACTTATGTCACGGTCGATGAATGTGTGGTTATGCAGAACTGTCACTGTGGCACTGAGCCTGCCTGCACACCTGGATCCCAGCGTGTGCGGTGGGAGAAGTGGGGTGTACACCCAGGAAAGCTCCATTTGACTCTGATAGACTCTGAGTCATGGAGCTGCTTTGTGAGGTGGGTGGTGTGGGGATGTTTTGTTGGGTGCTGGGGGCAATGGTCAAGGACCGTGCCCTCCTCCAATAGCTCCTTTGTAGGTGGCCGGGAGGTATTGTGGCTCCCACCTTCTCTCTCTCCTGGGAATGAACCAGGCACTGCTGGGGTACACTGTCAGGATTGGAGAGGAGCCTAGGACCAGCCCTCCCAGCCCTGTCATCCGCAGAGGCCTGAGACCGCAGCCCCTCCCCACAGGAGTGCAGCTTCCTTGGCAGTGACTCATCAGGGGTGTGTGCTGGCCAGGGAGGTGAGCACATGTCATGGCCTCCGATGCTGGTCCTGAAGCTGGGCTCCCTGGTGTGGACTCTGCTCCAGCCAGAGGGCTGGGCAGCACCGAGCAGTTCGGGCTGTGACCGGCATCATCCCGGAGCAGTGGGCTCCTGAGCTGTGCGCACAGCGTATGGCTGCTTGGTGCCCTTCTAGCCTGGCCGAGGGGGGGCACCCATTCTGCAGCGTCCCCTGACCACTATGGGAGGCCCTCCTGCTGAAGGCCCAGTGGGCATCATGCCATGAGCCCAGAGCAGAGCGGGTGTCGGCTTAGACTAGAGTGGCCTTCCCGCTTGTTCTGGCCTGTTTGCTAAATGTTTAGCAGAGTCTGGGTGTCTCCTTTGTTTCACTTTCACTTTTTAAAAGGCAGTTTGAGATTGGCTTTGCTGACCATTGTGCTCGTCTGGCACTGGCTGTGGGTTTGCTGCGTCTTGGCATTCTCCCTGCCTCCTGCTATGCCTTTGCGCCTTTGAGCCCCACCTGGAGCCCACGACATGCGGGAGTGCGGCCACTCGACTACTGCCCCAGTCTTCACTCAGCCCAGGGCACAGCTACCCCCTTTCCAGGCTGCACGCAGACCCCCACACCCCAGCTGGGCCCTCTCCCTTCCTGTCTCAGCTACGCCACTCCCAGGTGCCCAGGTCCCTGCATGGCCCCCTCAGACAGGCCTGCTGCCCATGTCCACAGAGAAGCCTGGGGACTTGCTGTTTGTGGAGAACCTGCACAGGGCTGTCACACCCCCACCTGGCCAGTGACTTGCCCCCTGACCAGTAGCACCACACTACCAGCAGGGCTGGGGGACAGAAGCCCGTTTTCTCATCATACACGCGAGGCTGCAAGGTGGGAAACGCTCCTGGGCCCTCTCCTTGTTGGGGGCCGACTGTGCCCATGCCTGTGCTGAGGCTCTGAGGTGGCCGCCACCTGGCTAGGGCCGTGCAGGTCCAGCTTCCATCTTCTGACAGCGATGTACGATTGGCCACCTGTGTCCCTAGTAAGTGGGGATGGCTGCTTTGTTCTCGGCGCTGGTCCCAGGAGCAGGTGGCCTTTCCTCCTGGGGCGCCTGTGCCGCATCTGCACAGGGCATATTCTGGGGATGTTCTGGGGGCTGTGGTGACACTGGTACATCACTGTGTCACGCTCTGCTGGCCTCACACTGTGAGTCACGTGAGGTGAGCGTGCAAGAAGGAAGGTTCAAGAGACTCGCCTAGGCGCCTGCAGCTGGCGTGGTGGGGGGGCTCCTGGGAACCTGCTTGTGAGGTAGCTTGTTTTTACACAGCCAGGTTCTCCCTACCTATGACAGCCTGGACGAGCCGTCGGTGAAAACCATGAGCTCCATATTTGCCTCCTCCCTCAACGTGGTCACCGCCTTCTATGTCATGGTAGGAACCTTCCCTTCCCCTCCCCCTCATGTCGGAGCAGTGTCCCTGTGGATACTACTGTCCCCAGCCTCTTGTGGTCCTTCAGGAAACACCTTGTGCCTGGGGCCCCTCCCAGCGTGGCTGTGGCCTGTCAGAGCCACACAGAGAAAGGCCCGCTGTGGCATCAGGGTGACCACACCCGTAGCCCTGCTGTTCCCAGCCAGCCTCCTGCCACTGCTGCCTGGGTATGAGGGTGACTCCCCTTCTGAGGAGCTCACACTCTGTCACGGGGCTGCACCCTGATTGCTTAAGCTGGGTGACTGTTCCCACCTTCTCTCCAAGACTTTTGATAATTCACCATAACGTTGGGGTGTGTCCGTTAGGGAGACTGGAAGGCGTACTTTAGTGGAGGAAGAGAGTAACCTCAAATTCCAGCCCACAGGCGCAGTTCCTGCCAGCGCTCTGGTACATTCCTCTTCCAGTCTTCTTATGGCACCTATTTGTTGTCTTTAAATAAAATAATAAATATGCTAAGACTCTAGCTCATTTCCCTGAATGTGGTGGCTTCAGCACTTGCCTGGGTCATTGCAGGGTCCCTGGCGCTCCCTGTTGATGCCGGCAGCTTATGCCACAGAGGACTGTGTGTACCCCACGGCTCCCCAGTTGGGTTTTGAAACCAGATTGAGACAGGCCCTCTGAAGGACTCGGGGCAGTTTCACACCTTCCCTTCCCGCAGGCAGCTCTTTCTTTGTCTCTGTGCCCTGCTGGCCTTGCGAGAAGGTAATTGGGCGCTTAGCTTCTGTTGATCAGAAGAGGATGTTTTATGGTAGGAGCCTGAAAGGTGCCTTTGTCCATGTGGCTCGCAGGTGTTCTGGGCGGCCATGGCCCCCCAAGCCCCCTCCACTGGCCGCCCGTCACCTCACTGCCTGTCATTCTCCCACAGGTGGGGTTTTTCGGTTATGTCAGCTTCACCGAGGCCACTGCAGGCAACGTGCTGATGCACTTTCCTTCCAACCTGGTGACGGAGATGATGCGCGTGGGCTTCATGATGTCGGTGGCCGTGGGCTTCCCCATGATGATCCTGCCCTGCAGGCAGGCCTTGAACACACTGCTTTTCGAGCAGCAGGTAGGAAACTCGAGGCGTGTCCCTGATCTTAACGTTATCTTCTACCAGCTTTTTTTTTTTTTGTCTTTTTTCATGACTGGCAACGGATCGCAACCCTCAGTGTTGCCCCCGCTCCTCGCTCAGCCAGTGAGCGGCCAGTCTGTATGTGGGATCCGAACCCTCGGCGGGAGTGCCGCCGCGCTCCCAAGCGGCGCACTATCCAGTGCGCCACCGGACCGGCCCATATCTTCTACCACCTTTGGCTGGTTCTATATTCTCCTGGGCATAGGTGCAGCCTTTCCTAGCTAAAAATAAAAAAGCTTCAATTAAAATGAAAATTTTTAATAGAGATTTTTTTTTTTTAACCAACTTTGGAACAGCTGGCACAGGGCTCACTGTCCACGTGGCCAGGCATGTGGTCATGGTAGCACTGCAGCTCTTGTCTGCTGCCTACGGACTCTGCCACTGGCCATGACAAACTCCGGCTTCACAGCAGAGGCCAAGCCAGGCAGGATTTACGGTTTTGTCGTTTGGGAGGTGAAGGCAGGGCCCGCCCATCTGGCCACAGGGTCCTCCCGTGGTTCCCCCAGCTTGGCCTCCACCGTGGGGTGCTGACATCCATCTCTCCCTGTCTGATGAAACATGCACTTCATATCTGAACAGCATTTACCTTTTTTTAAAATGAAAAAACCAGTAGTGGCATTAAAGGAAGTATTGGATCAAGAGAATGAGTTGATCCACATCCCTCTATCTTGAGGCAGACGTGGCTGCCGCTCCCTCCCCGCGGTCGCTGGCTTCTGGTTTCATAGAGGGGCAGCGGAGGAGGTCACCGTTTTCTCCCAGTGACGGCCACCAGCGCGTCTGCATGTTTCCATGGAGGTGCCGCAGCACCTCTGCTGCCTTCTCCTGCACGTCATGTGGGATGGCTGTGTCTGGCCCGTCCCCTGGCCTCTCGGGGATGTCTCGTGGCATCTCTTGCACATAGCCCCCCTTCCTCTTCTCCTGGGGTATTTCTTAGGTAAATTTCTACTGTTGGGACTCCTAGGTCCTAGACCTGATGTGCTTCCTCACTAGCCTGTGTGCAAATTATTGTCCTAAAGTCAATTTAGAAATTTGGCTCCAGCTTCCTCAGTGCACCCTGTGAAAAAGTCTATTCTGAAAACTGGGTACTTGGAAACTAGTTCTGGAAGGTTCTGTCATGGTTTCCTGGCCCAGAGACAGCCCCCACAATCAGCCGTTCCTGCGAACTCACTCACTTGACCTTCACCATGGCTTGATGGAGAGGTGCTTCTGGGGCACACGAGGAAACTGAGGCACAGAGGCTAAGTCACTTGCCTGAGGCTAAGTCACACAGCTGGGGCTGGTGAGTGGCAAAGCCAGGACTGAGCGGGCAGTCCGGCTCCAGTGTCTGTGTGCTGCACCGCCTGGGGGCTGTTGGGCAGGTGGAGTCTGAGGCCTGTGCCTTGGGCTCTGCAGCTTCACCTGAAGCCAGCGTCCCTCGTGTCCTCGCACCTGGAACGATGGAAGCCCCAGTGCTCCTGGAGGTCAGGTGGGCACCCTGGGCCTGGTTGTGTTGCATCATTTCCCTCCCCGCTGTTCTCTCCTGGACTTTGAGATTGTTAGCTGCTTGTCCTGCCTCTGCCGGGGATGATGTCACACTGCTAAGTGCGCGTGTGGGCATGCGTGTGAGGGAGGGTTCTGCCTGCACTCCGAACCCTGCAGGCTTAGCATGTGCCCAAGTCACTCGGCAGGGGTCTGTGACAGAGTCTGTGTTCCGTCCTCCCTGTTTTGGCACTTTTTAAAAATCTTTAGCGGCATTGCTCCAAAAGCAAAAAGGAAAATGGAAGGACTCAATCCTTACATCTCAGAACACGACTGCAAAGTTGACGGCCTGCACCTGGGGTTAGAAGTGCTCATGCCTTCCTGGCATGTGGAGGTGCAGGCTGAGGCTTCTGGTTAACGTTGCTCAGCCAAACCTGATTGTGCCGGTGATGCTCACCTGCCAGGTGAGCTCCCCACCCAGCCTCTGGGGAGGCTCGTCTGGTGCTCTTGGTGGAGCCCTTTAACGTGTTGCCTTGCAGGAGGGTGGTGGAGGAATCAGTCATTTCAGAACCTTTTTGTTTTATTTTCTTTCATGTAGCAAAAAGATGGCACCTTTGCTGCGGGAGGCTACATGCCTCCCCTTCGGTTTAAAGCTCTTACCCTCTCGGTTGTGTTTGGAACCATGGTCGGCGGCATCATGATCCCCAACGGTAAGTGGTTGGGTCACTCCCACAGTTGAGCTGCTCCCGCCATCGGGCCCCACCACCACTTCTCCCGCCCCTCTTGTTCTCCATTCCTGCTGGTGTTCACAGGGCCCAGGGCTCCCTGCCTTGTGTCCTAGCACTCAACCAAGAGTCTCCTGCAAAGCGAAGAAACTCCCAGGTCGTTTTCTTCTTTGGCCCACAGAGAAAGGCAGGGGATAAACTGTGGCAGTCCAGTGCAACAACAGATACACCAAAACCTGAGCAGTTGACACCTGCACAGAGGCTCCCACCCGGGGACACAGGCCCAATTTGTAACATAAATGATTATAAAGCAGCTCATTCATTACTACTGACTTGACTGACTCCTGATTTTGTTGACACATTACCAAGGAAAGAGCTGAAAGCCTTGGGTAAGATTTACGTTCTCCTCACACACCTGTTTCCTAGCAGGCAAGGCAGAGCTTATCGTCATCAGATACAGAGGGAGCTTGCAGCGCCCTCCCCCAGGTGACATCCCCACAGGCCCAGAGGTAACCTGTTCAGGCTGCTGGTAGTGGGCTGCACCCTCCCAGCATTCGAAGCTGGCTTTTACACATGTCCTGCTAGGTCACCCCCCAGGTGACTGGCCCCACAGGCCCAGAGGTAACCTGTTCAGGCTGCTGGTAGTGGGCTGCACCCTCCCAGCATTCTAAGCTGGCTTTTACACATGTCCTGCTAGGTCACCCCCCAGGTGACTGGCGAGGCAGCAAGTGGCCCATGTGGTGCGGAGCCAACATCTGATTTAGGCAGGAAGCCCTCAGTGCCCAGCTCTTTAGAGACGAACACTCATCAGAGAAGCCCCCAGCAGGCGCCAGGTACACTCTGGCCAGTCAGCGGCGCTTCGTCGGGCACTTGGCTCAGAGGTGCCTCTGCTGCCAGCTCGCACTCACATGGCCTTGGCTGCGGCGTGGCTCACTCACCTGCATGTGGTTGAATGCTCAGTGCTCCTTGCCGGAGCCTTTCCTCCCTTTCAGCTCAGCCTTTCTTGTCGCTTCTCATTCCTAGTGGAGACCATCCTGGGCCTCACGGGCGCGACGATGGGAAGTCTCATCTGCTTCATCTGCCCGGCTCTGATCTACAGGAAGATCCACAGAAACGCCCTTTCCTCCCAGGTGAGCGCTGCTCTGGCAGCCTGGATGGGTGGCCGTCTGGTCTTGGGCTGGGGAAAGGAAGAGGCAGAATAAAGCCCTAATTCAGTGCTTTCAGATGGGTTCTGACGGCTAGTTTTATTTTTCTTAGCACAAATACTATTCAGTCACATAGGTTTGAGAAACACTGGGTTATACCAAGTTGAACAGTCTGCCCTTGAGGGCCACGCCATGGCACTCACCTACATCAGGTGTTTCCCAGAGAGAGCCAACCTACCTGGGCGTCGGTTGTCTGACAGCTTCTGCGCAGAAGTGTTTCTGTGTTGTGACCGGATTGCCCGGCTGCCCCACCCCACCCATTCCCCCCGAGCCCACCACCACTGCCATCGCTGGTGTGTCCTTAGAGAGACAGTCTGCACACTTGTGTATGTGCGCACACGCTCCCGGTAACACAGCTTCCTGCTGCTCTTGCTTAAAATCCCTTGCAGGTTGCTCCACAGCCGTGCATCCAGAGCCACCTTGCTATTCTTCGCTGCTTCATAGCGTTTCACTGTAGGAAGATTCCGTGATCCCCATCTCCAGCAGAGTCACATCTCCAGTCTTTTGCTGTTGTAGACAAAACTACGATGAGTATCTGTGTACACGAGCATTTCAGTGTATTTGAAAATGTGTCTGTAGGAAGCTTTCTAGAAATGGAATCCCTGTGTCAAAGAGTGTGAGCACTGGTCCATGTGGTGGCTTTTGCCAGAGTGCCTCGCAGTGTCATGCGCACAGCCAGGCTCGGGCCTCTGTCCCTGCAGCCGGCATGCTTCAGCCTTTGTCTTTCTTGTTCCCTGGGTGAACTTGAGTGTTTTTTGTGGTTTAGAAGATGCTTGCATTTCTTCTGTGAACTGACCATGTGTTCTGCTCACTTTTTATGGAATTGAGCTTAAATTGTTGGTCTGAACTTTTTTTTGGTATATATTAGTAAATTTTTTCAAGGTATAGTACACCTACAGTAGAGCACATAATTCTTGTACAGTTTAATCAATTTTTGCAAGGTGAGCCCAGCCACAGAACCCCCATCCAGGGCAGATCTAGAACATTCCAGCACCCTGAAGCCTCCCCCAGGTGCTCATACTCACCCACCCCCAGCCCCAAAGGTTCCTGCTCTCGTCTTCCAGCATTGGAGAATGATGTTCCTGCATTCGCGTTGACGTGAGTGGCGTCTCACAACAGGCGTCCGCGTGTCAGCCTCGGGCTCAGTGTCATGTCTGAGCTCGCCCATGTTACTGCAAGGGGAAGGGCTTGCTTGTTCTCACTGCCGGGTGGTCTTCATTTACTAGTCTACCACAATTTATCCACTCTGCCACGGGAGAGCAAGTAGTTTCCAATTTCGACTGCTGGTCCAGACATTTCTTTTGGGGCCTTCATGTTTGCAGTTTTGTGGGTTATGCATTTAGGAGGAAAGTTGTCGGGTCCTGGGGTCATGTGTATTCAGCTTTAGGAGGTTCTGCCACACGGTGTTCTGGTTTCCAGAGTGGTCCCTCCAGCAGCATACAAGAGTCCACTTGACTTTACATCCACTGTCCCTTTTCCGTTTTAGTCCTTGCATGGGTGATGTGGATCAGCACCTCCTGTGAGTTTCAATTTGCAGTCCCCAGGTGACTAATGACGTGGAGCACTCTTCATGTGCTTGTTAGCCATGTGGGTGTCTTCTTTTGAGAATGCCTTCCAAGTTTTGCCTGTTTTTCTCTACTGGGTTGTCTGTCTTTTTCTTACTGGTTTGTGGGAGTTTTTAATAGATTCTAGATAGAGGTCTTTTTTTTTTTAAAAGATGACCAGTAAGGGGATCTTAACCCTTGACTGGTGTTGTCAGCACCACACTCTCCCAAGTGAGCAATGGGCCATCCCTAGATATAGGTCTTTTTTAAGAAATATATATTGCAAATGTTTTCTCTCACTCCTGGTGCTTTTCACTTTCTTAAGGACATCTTTTGGAGAACAGAAGTTCTTAATTTTAGTGTGGTCCAGTTGATTGATCTTTTTCTTTTCCTTTTTAATGTCCTATTTAAGAAATTTTTGCCTACCCCAGGGTCTTGAAGATCATTTCCTCTGTTGTATTCTAGAAGCTTTCGATTTCATCTTTCATGTTTATAGCTGCGCTTCATCTGGAATTGACTGGTTGAAGTTGGGGTGAAGGCTCACTTTCTCTATGTGGCTCTCCATTTGACCCAGCACTGTCCTTTCCCCACGGCGGCAGCGTCACTAGTTACCTTCTGTACATACGAGGCTGTTGGGCACTCCTGTGTCCACTGGTCTGCTGCTCTCTGCTCAGACCAGTGCTGCCCTGCTCCAGTTGCTGTAGCTTTACAGAAGTCTCTGTGGCAGGTAGAAGTTCTCCACTCGAGTCTTCTTCACGGCTGTACATACGAGGCTGTTGGGCACTCCTGTGTCCACTGGTCTGCTGCTCTCTGCTCAGACCGGTGCTGCCCTGCTCCAGTTGCTGTAGCTTTACAGAAGTCTCTGTGGCAGGTAGAAGTTCTCCACTCGAGTCTTCTTCACGATACTCTTTCTTATTATTGGCCCTTTGCATTCCAACTCAACTTTAAAATTGGCTTGTCAGCCTCCTTCAGATTCCTTTGAGATTTTGATCCCGCTGCATCCAACAATAGATCAAAGCATTGACGCCATCTCTCAATTTACATTTTTGCTAATTTCCATTGTGATCTCTTCTATCTTTCTGGCTTCTTTAGATTTCCAGACATTTGGGGGTTTCCCGGTAATCTCTTTTATTGATTTCAAGCTTAATCCCAGTGTGGCTGGAGTACACACACTGAGGAATTCCAGTCCTGTGACGTTTGTTGAGACTTGCTCTGTGGCCGGCGTCTGGCCTGTTATGGGGAGTGCTCAGCAGGCCATGGGTTCTGCCGTTGCTGGATGCACGTCCCAAGTGTGTTGGTCAGGTCATGTTTACAACTATGATTTTCAGGTTTTACATATTCTTACTGATTTTTTTAATCTTGTTTATCAGTTATGAGGAAGGTATGTAACTCCTACTGTGATGGTAGATTTTTTGTTTAGTTCTACCATTTTTGCTCTTTACTTTAAAGCTATGTTATTAGGAGCACACAGCTTTAAGTTAGTTATATCTTCTTGTTGAGTTGACTTTTTGCCTTGTGGAACGTCCCTTTTTGTCTTGGAACACTTCTTGGGTTTGTGTTCGCACGGGGTAGCTCTTTCATCCTTCTTTTCATGTGTGTCCTTACGTCTAGTGTCAGTCTCTTGTGACAGCGTGCAGCTGGCTGTTCTTGTCTTGTTGTTATCCATTTTGTTAACAGGAGTACTTAAGACTGTTTACAGTTAATTCAGTTACAGGATTGGGGGGACTTAACCATCTTATTCTTTTTTATTTGTCTCATCTTTTTTCTGTTTCTTTTTTTCTTGAATCAGTCAAGCATTTTAAATATTTATTCTCTTTTCCTCTCTTAGCTTGTTGGTACGTTTCTAGTCTCCTAGTGGTTGTACTAGCCAGTTAATACAAATCCTCGACTTACTCGTGTCTACTGTAAATAAGTGTTTTTTAGCCACTTCCCAGACAAGGCAAGTATCCCACAATATTTTAACTCCATCTACCCTCCTCTGGCCTTTGGTGCTGTTGGTCTTTTTTTTTTTTTTTTTTTTTTTTTTGGGGGG